GACATGGATTGGGGAGTTATTCAATACTTTTTTCTTTGACCTTATAAGAGATTCATATTCGATGTTGTCTTATTGTCCACATTCCGAAGATTCCCGGCCGATAATTTCCGGGCCGGCCCGTATCACTAATCTAATTGGCTAAAATCACGTGCCGGAAAAAATTTTGTGGGTGAGCTAGAGTAGAGCTAGAGGGGTTCAAAAAACCGATGCCAAATTATTTTCGGCAAGACCGCAAGTAGTTTTACATAAACTTTAAAACGAAATAACTAATAAATAACAAATAACATTTTTTAAGATTCAATTTCACGTGAACAAGTTACGCTATGTGCATAACGAGCATCGGGTGCAATAAATATTAACCTTTAGTTTTAGCCAATCAGAAATCTTTCTAACCCTGTAATGTAATCAGCCAATAATATTTCCTTCGATCATTTCACATGTCCGTGAAACAGTTCTATGCATATTATATATTTTATTATCCGAATTTTAGAATTTGAAATAAGAGATGTTCAAATACTATCAGCAATGTTATTATACTACTACTACGTCTTCAAAACGATGGATTGCAAGACAAATTCGGGATAAATATGTTAAAAAGGCCGCCCAAGAAAATTTTCGTAAATATTTAACCATCCTTTTGCATTTTTATAATTAAATACTAATTAATATAATTAATATTTATTATCGAGGATAATGCTGAAATCGGATGATGCTGAAATTTTGACTTATTTTATTATGAAAATTTACAATTTTTTTGGGGTGTTTTGTTCAGCATTTTTTTATCATTTGATTAGAATTTAGGGTTATAAAAGAGTATAGGTGGAATTTAGTAGGTTTTATATTTTCAAATTAAGACTCAAAATTTCAGCATCATCCGATTTCAGCATCATCCCCGACATTTATTTTATTGTACTAGGTGCTCGTAGTGCATATAAACTACAGGAATTAGATCATAAATACAATCTCATTATACCTAATTCAGTAATTATTGATTGCGGTGCTTCCCCCGGCAGTTGGTGTCAATATATTTCTCGTAAAATATTTCTATCAAAGAATGTGGATGTGAATATTGATAATAGCTCAAAGAATGTAGATGTGAATGCTGATAATAGCTTAATAATCGCTGTTGATTTATTACCCATTGATCCAATAACTGGTGTAAAAATTATACAAGGCGATTTTACGGAATCAGTGACGCAGCAAAAAATTATTGATTTATTAAACAAAAGACATGTTGATGTTGTACTTAATGATATGGCACCTAATTTTACTGGAAATCATTTCGTGGATCACGTTAGATCAATGGTAAATTAATTCGCTACTCAATGCATAACAACAATTTATCATTTTAAATTTTTTTATATATCAAGGAATTATGTGAATGTTCATTGGCTTTTGCCGAACTTGTATTAAAATCTGGTGGTACTTTTCTGTGCAAGGTAAGGTGATTCAAAATCTAATGCTTAATAAATTTAATTTCATTCTTTAATAGGATTTATCAATTCTTTTTTCCTAAAGTTCTTAATGGGTGAATCCGAACCTGAGTTTAGAAACAAGTTGAAATCCAAGTTTAAAAAGATTCGTTATGAGAAACCACATTCTTCACGAAATAAATCAACTGAAGGTTACTTTGTGTGTTTAGAATTTAATAAAAATGTCACTGATGGTATGACATAATAAAGACAATTGAATGCATCAATAGGTCAAAACAAATAGTAAATTTATCAATTTTTGTTATTTTTAAAAAAATATTAATATTATTAGTATACATTTTTGTGCATAAGTTTTAATAGTAGACGCACTACATATATTAATACAAATCTGTTTCTGTAAAATCTACACTAAATCCTTGATCATGTAATAGTTTATTCTTAAGCTTTTCTCGCCTTTGTCTTGCTTCTATTTCTTCACGTTGTGCTAATAGGATCTCCTCTACAGGTACCTGTCGGAGAGGTAATTCATCTTCTTTGTCTAAATCCTTATTTATATAAAATCAATTTTATAAATTGAATTTTTCACAATGAATTATTAAATGCAAATAAAATTTTAAAAAAGCTTTACAATTTCTCCCAATAGAACTACATTCTCTCCTCTAATAATAAAGATTCCCCGAGGAATATCTCCATACGCATCACCAACGTAGATTCGTTCTATTGTGTCTTGTAATACAAGATTTGCTAAGGGATTCGTTTAATGTACATTGATTAAAGTTTAACAGTGATTGTGCGAAATTCAAACGTAATTTTGAGGCGAAAGTGGTTTCCTACCAAATTGATCAAAAGATCTTAATACACCAATGAGTTTGCGTCCATCACGAAGTACAACTAGCAATTTCCCTTTTGCAGCCAATACCATTTATTCAATAATTAGAAAAGCGTAGCAAAATGTTTTTTTTTTTTGTTTTTTTTTTATTAAAAATAAACATAAATACATAAATACATTGAAAAAAAACTTGTGCAAAATCAAGTAACATAAGGTGAATAAATTATGCCCTCCTAACTTACGATCAACACTATCAACCAAGCTGGCAGAAGTTGTAAAAAGCTGTGGAATAAAATTATCCATAGTCTGCTAGTATTAAATATGACTATAATTCTAAGGTGTCCGTATATTATAAAGTGAATTGAAAAAAAAATCAGTCTGGATTGTCATGGCAAAAAAATTGAAAAATTCCACGATCCGATCTCCGAGCTTGAAATTTCATACGCATATAGAAAGACTTTCTCGTGATTGGTTAGTTAAATTTATATACTATAAGTCGCAAAACATAC